CTCTCTCTCTCTCTCTCTCTCTCTCTCTCCCTTTTCCACATCACATCACATCACGGCTTCAACTTCAACTTCAACTCTTCAACTTCCATCTTCAACTTCAACTTCACCTCCATCCCTTCACCCCTTCCACCCCTTCCATCCCTTCCACCCCTTCCATCCCTTCCACCCTCACATCCCACACGCTGCAATCGATCGATCGATCCCAGACCATCTCAACACCTCTCGACCCGGATTCGCTGTCCCCTGTCCCCGCTCCGCCCCCGATCCACTTGGATCGTCGCTGGGTTGCGCGGCGCTGCGCTGTCCAGATCATCCACTCGGTCCCAGATATCCCGACCCCCGATCCCGCCCCCATTACCATCCCCAATTCCCAATCCCCAATCCCCATCATCAATCACCGTCGACGTCGACGTCGACGACCCTCAGCAAGCATCGCCCGCAGCCATGGCAAGCCGATCGCTTAAGCCGGCGTCATACTTGGCCGCCGCCGGCAACCGCAGCCCCAGTCCTAATCGAAGCAATTCTCGTCCGCGTCCACGCCCGCGGTTCTCGAGGACGGCCAGCACCACCAGCACGGCGAGCACGAACAGCGAGGATCACATCTTTGCCATGTTGAAGGGCCTGCATCTGGACAGCGAGGTGCCGTCGCGATCAACCACGCCGGGTAAGTGGAATAATTCTCCCCCCTCTCTCCTTTCGTTGCATCTCGGGGGAATCTCCTTGTCTGCATCTGCATCTGCATCTCCATCTGCATCTCTATCTGCACCTCCATCTGCATCTCCATCTGCACCTCCATCTCCATCTGGATGCATATCCGGTGGGCTGGTGACGAGGACGGCGACGGGAATGGCGTTTTTGGCGGCGGGACACGCTACCGTAGTCTACTACCAAGTGCCAACGGTGGAACTCGAACAATTCGAACACGCACACGCACACGCACACACACACACACACACACACACACATATGAATATGGAATGGAAATGGAATGAAAATGGCTTGCTGACCAACGTGGAATCCTTCATATAGTCCAGTCGTCGCCCACGTTCCCTCCCCCGTCCGACCCCAACACCACCCCCGGACGCAAGCGAAGCCAACCCATTGCTATTGAGATGCCAATATCCCGAGGAACAGCTGCCTATACCCCGTTGAGCGCGCGCGGAGATCTGCCTGGGTATGTTTAACCTTGTTTGCTGTTCTCGCCTCTTCCTTATTCGCCCCTTTCCGCCAGTCCGCGGCCCAACTCCACATATCCTGGGGAACGGGGGTAGGGGGGGCTTTGCGCGACTCGGACGCTCGCTCGTTTGGTCTTGGGCGGGGGGCACCGTTGTTTGTGGCTGCATCGCATCATTACCTGAAATTACACGGCAATGATTGATGTCCTTGCGCGCACGCCATAGCGTCACGATTCGATTGATTATAAAAAGCATTGCTAACCCTCATGGCAGAGGATACTTCCCGCACCACGGCCACGACGAAAACACCAGGCACTACCGCCCACACCCCTTCTCCAACAACTTTGCCCCGTCCTTCAAAGAAGATCATTCGACGAGAATGCCATCGTCCTTCGCGCCCTCTTCCTTCGCGCCCTCTTCCTCTGACACCACCCCCATAGCAATCAGCATGCTCTCCGGCCAGTTCTCCCCCTCCATCCCCGAGACCCTGCGCATCCCCAAGGGAAAGTACTATCCCTCCAACTACCAGTCGCCCAACCCCTCCGAAATCTCAACACCCCCGTCCTCCCTCCCCCGCATCTCTCTCCCACCCACCAATCTCTCTCTGCCACCCACGTCGTCCAAACGCGCCAGCAAAGATCGCGCCGGCCACGAACGCACGTCCTCGGACGTCAAGCGCAAGCTGCAGCAATACCAACGAGACATGATTGCCCAGGCCCAGGAAACGGCTTCCACACTGCGGGCTACGACGTCCAAGGAGCCACTCAGTCCGCGCTTACTGCCGGTGGGAAGCCCGGGCCCCATCACGCCGTTTGAGCTCGAGGAGGCGGATGGGTATCTGGTTGCGGGGAATGCGGCCGTGAGGAAGGAGAATGAGAGACAGATCCAGATGATGCTTGACGAGCCCTATGGAGTTAAGGGTTCCCGCATGTAGGCGGATGCCTGGCGATACACGGATGTGACTTGTGACGGGGACGGGCCAGCCGGTCTGGCTCACTCGCTCGGTGGCTGGCTGGCTGGTCTGGCACCCTCTTACTCACACTCACTCATGGCAACATCGACGTGAAACACACGTCATCGCGAAACGGCCAAACCCCGCTAAAAAAAAAAAAAGTCCGGGAGACGATGATACGGCCGCGATGGAATTGGACTCGATCGATTAGAATACGCCAAGTGCTGGTGTTGGCCTTTGCCTTTTTTCCTTCTCTGCATTGCTTTGGTTTATGATGCGGAACATGGTGTTTGGAGTCTGGGTGGACCGGAACGAAATCGGATAGACCGGATTACCCCTTTGCTTTTTGCTTTTTGCTTGCTCTGGACTATGAAAGCGGATAGATTGGGTATGGGGGGTACGGGTTGACTGCGTGGATTGCATGGATTGCATGGATTGGATGGATTGCATGGATTGCATGGATTGGGTCGGTGGGAAGGCACGGGATGGATAAAAAGGTCGGGAGCTTTGGTGCTTTGCCTCAGTAAGGGGGAGGAGAGTTCGATATCTTCTGGCCCTGGTCCCTCCCTGGTGGAGGTGGATATGGGTGTGGATGATGGATGATGGAGAAAAGGATTTTTACAGAAGAGCAAAGTTTAGCAGAGCAGACCTTGGCTTGTGTGCCAGGGAAAACGGTTGATAGATAGAGAGAGGAAAGAAATAAGGATACCAGCAACTGTTCCGTCTGATTTCGCCTGCCCCTTCGGTGTGTCAAGTGTGCCGGTCCCAGCAACGGTCTGACCTCTGACCGGGCGCGGCGAGCCACACGACGGGTGACCGGCTCTGCGCGCACATGTCACGGCACCACCGCCCCCGTCCCGGTCAGCCGGCTCCCCGATCACGAGTGGTGGTTGTGGCCCCCCTCGGCGTCCTCCTCGACCGCCACCCCAAACTCGCAGAGCAAGTTCATCGGTCCCTCCTCCTGCCACAGCCTCACCTCCTCCGGGCCGGTGACCCACACCATGCCGGCCATGGCGGCCGCGTTCGCGGACAAGATGCCCTTGCGGCCCCGCGATCGCGGGATGACCAGCATCCACTCCCGCACCAGCAGGACGTTGTGGCCGGCCGCCTGGGCGACGCGGGCCCGGCGGAGCAGCTGGGCGTACGTCGCGGCGAGGAGTGCGGCGGCCGCGGCGGCGGTGGTGGTGGTGGTGGTGGATGAGGGTGAGGGTGAGGGTGAGGCGGGGAGAGAGAGGGAGGGGGGGGAGCCTCTGGACGGCGTGGCGGAAGGGTACGTTTGGGGAGGTGGAGGTTTCTGTTGAACGAAGGGAAGAGGGAAAGGGGGGGTTAGATGGTTTCTGATGATAAGGGGAGGGGGAGGGGGAGGGGGGAGAGTGAGACAAGTCACGTACCGTCATCGATGCCCAGCGCGTCGGGAAAGAAGTCGAACTCCTCCCGCGGCGGGGCCGGCAGGATCTGGAGGTGCTTGTGGCCGAGACTGCTGCCGGCCTCGAAGCCGCAGTTGTAGATGACTAGATACCTGCGGCTGCCTGTCCCAGTGCCAGTGCCAGTGCTGCGACCGCTCTCCAGCCGCTGCAGCACGTCCCACGCGCAGCCTAGGTCGGCCTCCGTCAGCGGATCCGCCTGCGGGACAAAGTCGTTGGTGTGCAGCAGGTACTGCGGGCGCACGACGCAGTACTTGTTGAGGATGAGGCTGTGGCTGGGGCTGTGGCTGTGGCTGGGGCTGGGGCCGGGGCCGGGGCCGGGGCCCAGGCGCGCGAGGAGGAAATCGGGGTCCTCGTCGGCAAAGGGGTTGGTGGTGGGCTTGCTGCGCGCGGGGTCGTCGCGCGGGAGGATGGGTTTGGCGGTCAGGCTTGCCGCGGACCGGAATTGGAACTGCGTGCATGGGGATGCGTCAGTATGCGGGAATTCAACACGTGGTGATCTTCTGTTCTGTTGAAGGGAATCGATGTTGGGAATTTGAGAGAGAGAGAGAGAGAGAGAGATGTATGAAATGAAGGTGTGGATGGATGTCAGATGAGTACAGCTTTCGGTGGTCAGCTGATGTGATGTGACAAGGGAAGCAGAACAGGTGCGAAAGAAAACTTGCGTTGAACGGCTCGCCGGCGATGAGTTGGGGCGTGGTGTCCCGCCAGAGAAGCTGTCCCCGCTCGACGAGCGCGTCGAATTGGCGCAGCGATCTCTGCTCTAGACTTTCTTCTTCTTGTTCTTCTTCTTCCTCTTCCTCTTCCTCTTTTCGAGCGACGGCGGCGGCGGCAGCGTCCATAACGGGCAAGTACGCAAGTTCGTACGTACTACGTAGTACTTGTACGTACGTAAGGACGAAGCGAGACGAAGCGAGGCGAGGCGAGGCGAGGCCAGCAATGTATTTTTCTTCTTGGCGGGATTGGGCTCCTCCTCTGGGTTGTTGTGGGTGGGAAGTTTTGTCTTGTTTTGGGTTTTGGTATGGTCGGATAAAAGTTGGAAGGAGGGGGGGGAGGGGGGAGGGGGAAGGGGAGGAGGGGTTGAGAGAGTGGACGTTTGGGCTCTTGCTGGTGGTTGGTTGATTGGTTGGTTTTGAACGACGAAGCCCGCGCTTCGACGGCTGAGTGGGGGGGGGAGGGGGGAGGAAGGAGGCCGCTTACCGGTACTTGTAGAAAGGTCCGCTTAAGTCAGCGCTTGCCACTCCTTCTGGCTTGGGTACCGGTATATACTAGGTAGTACTAGTACGTCGTACTTGCCCGTGGATTCATCCTATTGCCATCTCAAATGATGGGCTCGCGCAGGACCCTGAACTTTGGCAGATACGTAGTACATAGTAGTACTTATCATGGGCATATATGCTCTTACGTAGTACGTTGTACGTGAGAAATAGAGTAAGACGGAACAACCAGGTCCATTTCTTCTTCTTCTTCTTCTTTTTCTTCCTTTTTTAGGACATGCGCATCTGCATGTGAAAGCTGCCATGTTTTCCGGGCTGCAGCTGCGTCGCGGTGCAGCCAACTTATGGAGCCGTCTGTCGCCTTTGCAGGACCGGTACTACCGGTCCCGCAGAGGCCCGAAAAACAACTGTACGCATGCCTGCAAGAAACGAAAAAAAGAAGAAAGAAAGAAAAAAAAAAAAAAAAAAACTAGTCTTCCGTCTTCTGTCCGGCCGATAGTTTCCCATGCCTCCTCGCTCGACACTAGTGGAGTCTGTGCTGTTTTTCTCGCATGCCTTACCGTACGTGAACACTTTAAACTGAATGCCGCTCTATGCTGCTGGTACTGTAGTGAGTAAGTGTACTAAGTATAAGTAGCGCAGTCTTCTTCCGCGCGCGGGGCCGCTTGGCCCCTGAAGTACTACTACTGCAGTACGGTACGGCCTAGGCTGGCCCGCCCCTGGAAGTAAACAAGCGGAGCCGAGCCTACCTGGTGGCTGCTGAACTGAGGCTATTCGCAAGGTTAGTGCAGCTCGCCACGTACTGCTATCCCCCCTTCCTGTCTGAACAAGTACTACTAGCATGTACGGTACTTATCGAAAGTATATTTCGCAAGGGTTCTTCTTATCAGGGCTCGAACCAATAAACTTGTAACGATTCGGCCTTGGAAAGCATCTTGGAGCAGATAGTGGTTTCTACTACCGTACGTCGTTTGTGCCGTGGAGTGGGTATGATAGGGCTTGGAGCTACTGCTGCTATCGAGAAACCACCGCTTGACGATGGGGTTGTACAGGGCTGAATTGGGTCCGACATTTAAACTTGAAAGGAGGGGGAGGATAGTAGTGAATCGCGAATTAGTACCTAGTAACTCGGAAATAAGTACTACGTAAAAGGACAGCGGATTAGGTTCAGATGGGATTGATTGCGAGATCTGAGCGGAAAGTGAAGCTAGCACGAGATATAGTTTCAGCAAAGGTTACAGGAAGCGAGAGAGAGAGAGAGAGAGCAATCATCTATACTGTACTAGTAGTACATATAGAGTTTACCGCACAAGACCAATCCTATCATCGTCAACAGATACTGTAGGTACAACGCCGTAAAGTTTTTTTTTTTTTTGGAACTTGAGAGTGCGAAACTGGCTTCCGTTGAATTGGATTAAAGGTTAATAGAAAACCAAAGTCTTGATGATTCCAAAGGTTATGCGGGACGCATTCGGAGAAAGAAAAAAAAGAAAAAAAAACGCTGCATAGAGCGGCGCTCAGATTTGAGTGTTGAAGTCAGTACCTACCGGTACTAGGTATGCGAAAACGTGGTCTACCATGTCAACGGGCGAGGCATAGGAAACTATCGGCCCCCCCCGTCTATTCGTTCTGCCTTCCTCTCCTCCACAGCACTTACTGCTATGATGGTGAGAGTAGTTTCAGAGATGAATCCGTCAGCCTTGTGGAGGAAGGGCCGGGAAAGGTCGCTAAGCGGACGAGAAGATCGGCACGACGTAAGCGAGGTCTCACCAGTCCACGTTTTCTCTCTCTCTCTCTTGAGAATGGAGCCGTGTTGACTTTACTACTACTACGTACTTATATCCCATCGATATTACTCGATAGTCTTAGCCAGGGCCCTTGAACGTGTTAAACTTCAACATGCCTCCGTCCTTGCTTACAGGAGGTGCGAAGTACGGGGATGGATAATCGACGAGCGGATGCCGAGGCTGCGGACGTGGGGTAGGGCCCAGCTTGTGTGTGAAGGTTACCAGCTCAGCTCAGCTCGTGAGTAATCAGTTTTACATAAAGTGCAAGTGCCGTGAGACAGGCGATCACTCCTTACTTGTACGTAGCACTCATCGCGTCATTTCTCGTTTGCATAAAGACCGACGTCCTCACGACCACTTTTGCATCCCCTCCATTTCTCAATCCCTCCAGATCATACACGCAAGATGTCGACTTTGGCTCTCCTCAACGACCGATCGCCTGTGGCTGTCGGCCTACTCGGTCTCATCGGCTCCTACGTCCTGTACCAGATCGTGCTGTACTTTGAAGCGGTGCGACGACGCAGCGTCATCGCCCGCAAATACGGCTGTAGATCCATACCCTCCTACCCTCACCGGGACCCTATCTTCGGGCTCGATATATTTCTCGAGAATGCCAGACTGGCGAGAATGGGCGGCTTCCTGGAGCGCGTCGCGGCTCGCTACCGCGAGATGGGGACCTACACTTATAAAATCCTTTTGCTGGGCGATCCTGTGATCAGCACGGCCGAGCCCGAGAACGTCAAAGCCTTGCTCGCCACGCAGTTTAAAGACTTCGCGCTCCCGTCCCGCAGGAAGAACGCGCTGAGACCGACTTTCGGCCACGGGATCTTCACGACCGATGGGAAGGAGTGGGAGACAAGCAGGGCGCTGCTGAGACCGAATTTCACGCGGAGTCAGGTGGGCGATTTAGACATCTTCGAGAGCCATATCGGGAAACTGATTGCGAGGATACCGACGGATGGCGAGACGGTGGATTTGCAGGAACTGTTCTTTATGCTGACCATGGATTCGGCGACGGAGTTTTTGTTTGGGACGAGTTCAGATGTGTTGGGTACTGATGCGTCGAGAGAAGGAGGGGTCAAGTTCCAGGATGCCTTCAACTATGTGACCGAGTGTGCAGGGCTGGAGACTAGGGTGGGCAAGTTGGCGGTGCTGCTTCCTAACAAGAAGTTCAGGGAAGCCAAGGCGTTTGTGCATACTTATATTGGGGACTATATCCAGCGTACTGTCGAGCTGCGGAAGAATGGGTCTGAAGTGGAGAAGGATTCCAGCCGGTATGTCTTTTTGGAGGAGTTGGCGAAGGTGGATATTGGAGAGAAGAAGATCCAGGATGAGCTGTTGAACATCCTATTGGCCGGGAGAGATACGACGGCCAGCTTGCTAAGTTATCTGTTCTACATTCTGGCAAGGAGGAAGGACGTACTGGCGAAGTTGCATGATGAGGTACGAGGGCTGGGAAGTGCGGCACCGACGTTCGAACATTTGAAGGCGATGAAGTATCTTCAGTACACCCTGAATGAAGGTAGGTTCCGTTTTCTGCTCTGATCAGTGGAGATGCTGATTGTCGTCTGTCTAGTGTTGAGACTTCACCCCATTGTTCCGGCCAACGGCCGTTGCGCCGTCAAGGACACCACCCTTCCTGTCGGCGGTGGCCCTGATCACAAGTCTCCCATCTTCGTCAAGAAGGGTACCACGGTCAACTACCAAGTTTATGTAATGCACCGACGAAAAGATCTCTACGGCCAGGACGCCGACGAGTTCAAGCCTGAGAGGTGGGAGAGCCTGAAACCAAGCTGGCAGTACCTGCCATTCAATGGTGGCCCGAGAATATGCATCGGCCAGCAGTTTGCGTTGACCGAAGCTGCCTTTACAACAGTGAGGTTGTTGCAAGCTTTCAAGGGGGTGGAGCCGAGAGACGATGCAGCGTTAACAGATACGCTGACTTTGACGGCGGCGGTGAGAGGGGGTGTCAAAGTCGCTATGATTCCGGCTTGAGTACGGTATGATGAGAAGAAGGGATAGGCTCAGGCTCGGGAATGGCTTTGGGATTGGCGTTTAGAGCTCCAGTAGCGATGTTGATGTCGAATCAGCTTCGGTTAGACAGTAGGATATATCAGCTCGCTTCGGCTTGTTGTGGCAACTGCTGCTTACCTTCCCATTTCCTACGTAATTAGTATCAACTACTCGCAGAGGTTGTCAAGCAAGCCACATAACATACCTAATACAATTCTAGGCATAGTCGGCATACCGTTCTGAAGCACTTGTCCCATGTTACCAGAACATGAGTCTATTCCCAACCCTCTCTATCTATCACCTCGGCATCCCCCCGGTCCGGCAATTGATAACCTCCCCCATCCACCTAATCTGTCCAACCCAATCATAATGCCTTCAAATATAAACATCCGCATCTTTGATCCGAGAATGAATTCCGAATGAATTCCTACATGTAGCATGTGCGGGGCAGATCATGGTCGTCATTTTGCGCGGTGCAGGGATCAAACAATGCTCCGTCCGTATGCAACCCAGAGGCAGAATCCGAAGACACGAAGACACGAAGACAAGAAGACAAGAACACAAGAAGACGAGAGAAAGCACCGCCGACGACGGATAAGAACAAACTCCGAACCGCTCCACAGAGTATAGCGCCGTCATCAGATACGCTGGCATCAACCGTCTCTACTACATCGATTAAGAGCTGGACTTTGCTCTATTGTTTGCGCACAGACTGCACGCTTCACGGAGAACCCTCCCTTTACCGGAACCTGACCCGGCATCGCGATACATACAAAGAGCTCAGTCCAAGCTCGCCTCTGCCTCGACGTACATCCTTTTGGGACGCTGCGACGGCTAGGAATTGGGTTTGAAGTGGGATCAGATCCCAGAGTCGCAGATTGGCTAGACAGCGATGGCGGCTCCTGTTGATCCAGCGACGCGCAAGAGGGTGCTGAAGGTGGTTTTTGTCTCTTTGCTGCTGGACCTGGTATGGCTCTCTCTCTCTGGGCGGTTGGAATTGTGCTTTCCCAGCTAACGCACGCTGTAGATCAGCTTCACATTCATCCTACCGCTGTTTCCATCTCTGCTGGCATACTATCGAGAGTAAGAGCCCTATCCAAGCACACAGCGCATTCACTGATCTGGTACAGCCTTGAAGCGCCCGCCCAGTTCCGCAGCTCGAATCAAAAGCCCTCTATCCTCGCGCACATCCTCACATACCTGAATACATACAAGGCTTCGTTTGCAAAGCCGATCGACTCGAGATATGATATTGTACTGTTGGGAGGAGCTCTGGGTAGTTTGTTCTCGTGAGTGCCATGCTGTATCAACCTCCCGGCTGGCAGGACTAATGAGCCCGGCAGCCTCCTCCAAGCCCTCTCATCTCCAATCATCGGCACACTCTCCGACCGCTATGGCCGGCGAACTGCCCTCTTGGCCAGTATGAGCGGCAACATCCTCAGTGTCCTTCTCTGGGTCTGCGCCACAGATTTCAGCACCTTCTTGCTCTCGCGCGTTGTCGGCGGCCTCTCCGAAGGCAATGTTCAACTCGCTATTGCCATCGCAACCGATATCTCGGATGAGAAGCAGAGAGGGGCCACGATGGCATTGGTGGGCGTATGCTTCAGTATCGCGTTTACGTTTGGACCGGCTTTGGGCGCTTGGTTGAGCTCCATCAATTCCGTCAGAGCGAATCCATTTGCGACTGCAGCTGGGTTCTCGCTATTCTTGATCGTCACCGAGACCCTCTACTTGTATTACTGCTTGCCAGAGACTTTGCCCAGCATGGTCGCTTCGGCTAAGCTCAACGGGACTCCAGCTGCGCCAAACGGGTCTACGGAACCGATGAGCCGATCAGCCCCGGCTACGCAAGCTCGAAAGGTCTCTTCCGAGACTCCCAAAGTAGCGGGGAAGCACGTGAGGACGAACTCGCATTTCCTGCTCAACCTCACTCATCTCGGCTTCATCCTGTTCTTTTCGGGCATGGAATTCTCCCTTCCGTTCATGACCTACGACTTATTCGGCTACACATCTGCGAAAAATGGACGACTACTCGGCTACATGGGCCTTGTAGCATCGCTCCTCCAAGGTGGCGTGACTCGCCGTCTTCCGCCTCTCATGTCAGTTAAGATCGGTGTCGTATCCTGCCTGCTGGCGCTTCTCCTACTCGGGCGCATCGACACTATACTCGGCTTATACACTGCGACCACCTTGCTCGCTGTAACTACAGCTACCGTTGTCACAGGCCTGAACGCGCTTAGCAGTTTCGAGGCAGGCGAAGACGAGAGGGGGGGTAAGCTAGGAAACCTGCGCAGTTGGGGACAACTGGGACGCGGTATTGGGCCACTGCTGTTCACGAGCGTCTACTGGTGGGCGGGTCGCGAGGTCGCATACACCATTGGGGGCATGGGTGTGCTCGGTGTCAGCATGGTTGTATTTTTCGGACTGAAGACACCAGCTGGGACGGAGGGGAAGAAGATCAAGGATCTCAAGAATGCAGAGGCTGTGCAGCTGTAAGGAGTGAGTGTATGAGAATGTATATATATATATGTGTGTGAGAGGGACTTTTTGACAATGGGAGCCGGCTGGTTGTATGCTGATACGGGTAATGGGTTTGGGACATTGTAGCCAGCTAGCTGGGCAATGGGGTTTGTGGAGCTCTGGGATTTTGCCGTCGTAGTTTTGCACGGAGTCACATACAGAGTGTGTAGGTCTAACAAGGATAAAGCGCCAAAGATTCTTTCTCTTACGTAGTACTTACTCTTATTTACTCTTACTACAGTAACGCCTCCCTCAAAACCAAACATGGTAGATCACCCGATTTCGTAGGTTAGGTACGTCTCGTCTGCTGCCTCGTAGCAGCAGCAACAATAATAATAATAACCATAACAATCACACTTCTGCACTGCAAGACTGGACGGACGGACGCCGCTCTGCTTACTCTGTCTCCGTACGTGCGTACGTGCGTGCGTGCTTCGTGCTTCGTGCTTCGTGCTTCGTGCGTGGGAAACCTTTCCTCTCCTAGTTGTATAACTAACCTACCCAAGGAAAGACGTCGCACGGGTACCGGTTAGGGAGGGAGGGAGGGAGGGAGGGAGGGAGGGATGGAGCACGCGATTGGGAGATGCTTTGTTCTGGGTTGGCTTGGTTTGGTTTTGGTTTGGTTTGTTAGGGGGTGGGGAGTGGGGAGAGGTATTACTGGTTGGGCGGAGGGGGGGAGGGGAGGAGGGGGGGGGGGGAAGACTCCTCCGTAGAATATATAGTATAGGGTCTGTGATAAGTGATGGGATATGATATGATATGATATGATATGATATGATGTATATGCTTGAAAAATCAAAAGGGGAAAAAAGGGAAAAAAGGAGAGGGGGAAGGAAAAAAGAAGAAAGAGATAAAAAGAGATAAAAAGGAAAAAAAAAGGAAAAAAAAAAAATAGGAAAAAAAAAGAAGAAGAAAGGAAAAGGAAAAAGGAAAAAAAAGAAGGAAAAGAAGAAAAAGAAGAA